ACGGGTTATATTTCTGCGAGCCCTTCTCCTCAATTTTATTTACCACACCACGGAGGCTTTCAGGACGTCAGTACATCGTCGTCCGTTCAGAACTTTTCTTTGGCAGATGCGGGATCAAAAATTGCCTCCAATTAATCTGGATGTTGATGGTCCTATGACTGGTCGTTTGCCTTTTAAAAGCATTTATTTCCTTGACTTAATTTTAAAGATTGGAAGATGTTGCTTTTGTACAGTTCAACCACTTTCTTTATCCCAAAACGTAGATCCAAGTTCAAAAAGTGCGTACTTATAGCAAGGAAAGTAAGGGTTTAAGGTGCTCATTCTCTATAATTAGTAGTTGAAACTGGTGTTTAAATAAATTATGTGCAGCTTTGATTTTCCCATTCTAACTGCACACCTTGTTACTTTCTACCTACCCCCTTTAAAAACAAATGTGTAGATTACACTTCATATAAAAATCAATGAATCTCATCTGAAATTAATATCCGGTGAATTAACTCATGCAAAACCTAGTAGAAACTATTCTATAAAAAGTAATTAACGTGCACTTTGCAAAATGCATGTGGGTTTGGGACCTGTGTTAATCTCTTAGCACAAATATTCGCATACATCATCATTGTTAAAGACCGTTCTGGGATTCTTCTTGTGTTTCACCTAATTCAACAGTCATTTGGCGCCTGATCTCCTTTCACTGCCTTTTAACAAAGCCGCGCTGTTCCTCGACACGCTTCAGAACTCAAGTTTCCACGCAGTCGGCTGGCATGCCTTCTCAGCATCTTCGCTTCGCATGATTCGATCTGCACTTATTAAGTAGTTTGACACAGCTGTCTATCTAGCACCTATAATTGCGGGGGCGCTGAGTGATGAATTTCTTGGCTGGTTTGATACTGGGATCTATTGTTCCACTGTTTTGTTCCCGCAATGAATTTAAACATAGTGCAATCGAATTGTGGACACTTGGTTGGCATAGTTGCTTATTAAAGTGGTACAAAAATATCTAGTTATTTGCTATAACTTATGGGGTGGTTTTCTGCCTCCGCTGACAGTTAGTCTGTTATAGGTAATCACCGATCGGCCATCAATGACAATCAGCTTAACATCAAAATGAGTTAAGAGCACTTCCAAATTTCTACCTTCCTCACACCGTCTCTATTCCCAGCCTCTCGAGTTCGGCCCTTTTCAATTAGATATTCGAGTTCTAACATGGTTGAGATCAATGCATTCGCGGCCACAGCTGTAAAATCGCCAGAAAACACTTAAATAGGTATAAAAATGCTCTTATTGCCCAAACCCCGCATTGGGCTTGAACTGCAGATCCAAAATCGGGCCCAAGAGATGAGATGCCCGTGTATCGCTAACGCTTCTCAACCTATACGACGTTTGGACAGACGCTGTGTACAAAAGATTCAAGGTTTGAGCTTTCAGAAGCATCAACGACAAGAATCGGAGTGAGGTCCAACCTCCAGTCTCAGGGTGGGCGTTCGGATGAACCAAAGTTATCTTTAATGATGAAATCCATATTTTCCTACACTCTTTGGTCATTTTCACAGAAAGGCTGTTCGGCAGGACGAAGAACAACACCATGCTTCACGGCCTCTATCGCGGAGGGTCAGATCACAAGGACAGAATAATGCCACTGCAACGGCATAAAATTCTGCCATCTGAGTCTCAAAAGGACCAGAAGTTAGGAATCCTTTCAGATTAAGCGTTTTTTGGAGTCAGCCTTGTTCTCCGCAGAGGCAGTTCCAGGCATCTGACTTTAAAAGGTTAAGGTTGGATAGTCGGGCACTCCCTGCACTGATTGACTAGCTAGAACTCATAACAGTTGTAGTCGCTGCCAGTCTCTGACAAAATTGCCAGCATCTTCTCAACGACAGCAAATGGATAGACGCAGGAACTCTTAAAAGATTAGCAGCTGTACTTTCCAGCCAATTCTACGAAAGGATTCGTACGGCGAAAAATATTTGTGCCGTCCTGGAGAAAGAATTAGAGAGAGAACGGCTAGAGGGGGGGAGGTGGTCGCCTGTCTCCACCGATCTGAACCCTATATCCATCTACACACGTGTGGTGCACGGTCTCAAGTACTAAACACTCAAGTCTCGGGACCCGGCATTTCAAGCGTGGAGAGGTGTGAACAGCCACGACCTTCTATCTGGGTGATCTGTGTTAATTTTCAGCACCACAAGTGGAGAACGGCGGCTTCAGCCACCTAGGCATCGTTTACATATGGAAAAAATTTTCTGACACCACCAGAAGTACCAATAGGAGAACTTTAACCAAATTCGTGCAATACGTCGCATTATCCTTTACCTTTCCCATTCGCGGTATTAAATGGGCAAGACATTACGTAGGCCGCTGCAACCATCCGGGAGATGCTCTAGAAAGTACTTCCGACTTCTTAGTGTAGCAGACTGCACATGGACCTACCACAGCCAACTGTCTAGTCTCCCCTCACATAGCAGGCTCACCTCAGATTGGGTTACGCAGATGCTCCTGTGATTGTTGGCGCTAGGCCGCAGGAAACCATGGCAACGAGCCAGAAAACTGTATCAACATGATCGTGAAAAGACAGCACTGGTTGCCTGCCTGTGGGCTCAACCACGTGCTGGTGCGCGTGTGGAAAGCGAGACGACGTAAAACCACTACGCGTCTCGTCCCATCTGCTCCTGCCCCACGCTGAAGCCCTGTCGCCAAACATCCGACGCTTCCTATATCTCTGTGCCACAGACGGACGAAGCGACCATGCGCGGTCGCCGGACAGTGGTGTCGGGTTGCATTGGGGCATAAAAGCTCCAGAGAATGACTGCCTCTGCTCACAAACTTGTCCAAATGTGTTGCATCTGCAAAGAAAGTTATTTAGCACGCTGACCGGGAGCAATTGTGGTGCAATATAGCAAATGGGATGAGAGTAAACAGTTATTCTCCATAAAAAACCCTGCGTAATTGCATATTCTTGGGTCTACCAAGAGTTACAGACTTTGCAACTGGACCAGAACTGGCCATTCTGGTCTTACTCATTTTGCTTCGTATTCCTTCTACATTAACTTGACACTGACATCATCTGCAAGGACTCTAGATGGAAATTCGAGGGTCAGATGGAAAAAGCGTGCTCCTTCCTGCAATCTGGTGGTAAAACTCAACTTTCTTATAACTCCTACTATTCTGATCACATTTAATGGACCAGGGATCTGTAGCTCAAATAGTTGGGCATCTAATGTACGTTGCACAATTACCATTTTAATTTAGATTCAAAATCTTGAGTCATACGGACCTGGGGTTGAGGCGTGGCTGGCTTAATATGCCAAATAAGCCGGATATAGCCACCCCAGTGGCCCTCACCTTAATTGATATCTCTTCTACTAGACGAACTACTCCTAGAGACCCGTTAACGCTAGAAGGATAGAACTTTATAAAAATTTAGGTTTAAATCTTTAGTCGATAAGCCCTACACTGTTACCCTTGCGTTTTTTAAAAAGATGAACAGCCTATCTGCGGCGAAATTGTGCGCAAACTGGCAGCGGCTTAATTATTCTTCTGGCGTCTGACATTTGACGCTTTATTTCGACATCGTCGCAGAACACATGAATAAGTATGTGTAATTTGGGTGCCAAGACGTAATGCCATTAGGGATGATCGACTTTGGTTCGAAAGGCCGACGGAAGATGAGAAAAAAAGTAGTAGACATTCTGCACTAGAGCTAGCCAATAAAGTGCAGACACAGGCATATTCGCAATTTCCTAGATGTAGGCAACGGAGTACCATTCACCGACTTGTTCAGGAAAACGACAGATTTCCACAGCAAACGCTTTTTAAGAAATCACTTACAGCACGACTGACGTTTGTGACGCGTTTGAATCTCAGTGCGAAATAGATTCAGAATCGCCCTATGTTTACTCAAACAATATATACATTTAGGCAGTCGCAAAATCTCCCGAACGTGGTATTCAGAAAAAATCGGCAAATGTTTGTCATAGTGCAACTGCTGTCCCCCTTAAGGATACTTCCAGTAACTTTGGACGCAAATCACGATTAGAAAGGCTGTATAGTTAGGTATAAGTACGAAGGAGACTGGGGAGATCATTCCTTGGCAATTCACTGTCGTCAGCCAGCCATAGTCTAACCCCAGGCCGAAGCCAGACGTTCCACAGGCTTAACTGCTAGCCAAGCTCTGATGCTTGCAATCGACTACAATCAAAGTCAAGTAGAAGTGGTGCTCAGCAACTTGGGCTGGTTATATGGGAGGAGTAGTGAGGTTGTATTGTTACCCCTTGGAGCTGTATTCAAGGCGGCGCCTAATGCATCATCGAGTAGTAGTCTCTTTTCTCAGTTGCGTAATGCTGCTCTCGAAAGCAATCTAGCACATATAGCACTCCGCTCTGGGTTTCTATTTTGACCGGCGTCTAGGCATCTACGTATTTCAAGTAAAGCATCTTCGTATTTGTGCACAGAAGCGGATGGAGGCCTGAACTCCTGAGCGTACCAAAGACACGCAGTAGGTGTGTATGAGCAACGACCAAGTGCGTACATGGCAGAGTTTAAATATAACATTCAATAGGTACTGTAATAGGCACTATTCTGCAGGGAAGTCTCTTACCCAGGCGTCGAAAGGTGTGTCCATACCGCAATGTCATTAAGTCAGAATAAAGGCTGCAAATACTCGAAACAAGTGATATCTACATATTTAAAAAAAATTAGGCAAACATTTTGGCGGATAACTTTGAATGGGGTCAAGGTGCGATCGCATAGGGAAAATTTATAAAACGAACAGATTAGTTCCGAAAGAGGTCCAGTACTCTGAGTATGATGGCGTATGCGTATAAAACGATGACGAGCTTAGCGGCCAGAGTCGTCCTGAGGTTATACCTGTAACAATCAAATATTCCAGTAATGACCGATTAGGAGAGCGCTCATGCGCAAACCGGACATGGATTGATGATGCAGAATGTGTCGGTGAGCCGTCTTAAATGTGGAGTGGAGGTGGGGATACGGGGCAGGGATGACTACGCTGACCTTCTGTAGTTCTGCAGGTCGAATGTGGGCGAATTAGTTTGGGTCTGCCTCAGTCGCAGCCTCTTTCTGCCGGCATCTCCAAATCCGGTCACATGCCTTGCCCGCTTGCTCGATTTTTCGCTCAGTACCTGAATCTGCCAAAAAAAGTAGAAACGGGCGATTGCATATCCTAGCTCAAAGTAAAAGTGATTGAAACGAGAAAATTTCATCTTTTAAAAGTATGCAGATATGGTCGCATAGCTGTCTTTGTGCCGATTTTTGCTATACAGCTCACCGCTCAGTAATCAGTGACCGGAAAGAGAAATATTGGCTGGTAAACCAACTGGTCGACAGTGGTCGGCGGTCGTTTGCTACTTTTTCAGCCAAAAACGGCTCATTCATTGGACTCAGGTACATGACGGCGGTACTTTTAGCAACTTTGAAGAGATTTGATAAAACCTCCAGCACAGTGGTTTATGGCAGGTCCGTGCACCAGCCTGTAGAATTGTGCTTTTTTATGAGACGTTTTTCAAATATCTAGTGGCCCAACCATTTGTCCATCCTGCACAGACCTGTGATGCTTGCGTAGTTTCTTCTTTTAAAAAGGTGAAAACGGATCAGGGATCTTACAGGAGCATCGCATATTGTTATCTAACTGTCATTTTAAATTTCAAATCAATTAGCTGTCTGGATTTATATTCTGGAAAAAATAGAGTTATTTTATAGGCATGTCTCTTGATCACGATCGTGCCAAAATCTCGCTCCAAAAGGGTGCTAACGAATTCGGAGAAGCTTCAGGATTCATATCGCTGGGAGTTATCTGTAAAAGTTTTATAGTTTTTCATCACGTTAACTAGAATCAGGAGCCAGTGTCACATCGGATTGACACTTGCAAGATGGAATTGGAACCTTCCGTTTTGTCTTGAGGCCCCGAGTCTACAGTCCTCACAAGTGGTCACTTCCTGTCGTGACCGGACCAACGAGACATATGAAAAACCAATTCACCTAGGTATTACAACGACAACAGATTTGTTTTTAATTTCCTTTGAAAGTAGTGTGTGAGCCTGGAGTAAAGTCTTTGGCGTAAACCTTTCTAGGCTCGCTCCGAAAGTTGGTATGCATGCTTGAGTCGAAATATATCAGCTTCAGCAGACCAACAGCGCAATATTCACATTCGGCTCACAGTCAGTGGTATTTAAATACCGATTGATTTGTCCTACTGAGAAAATTAGCGTCCCTAACTTTAAGGACTGGAGTGTGTACTAAAATGCACATTAAGAGCGCAGGGGGACTCACTGATGAGTCGAAACACACAGCTGTTTCAAGCTGCAGCACAAAGTCGGCGAATTACGTCCTTGGGTTTTTAAGTATTACCCGTGTGGCTAGCACGGTGAGTCAATAAACGTTTATATATACTGATTGTCTGTAGACAGAATTTGGATATTGCCTTGTTGGTCCGTCAAAGCTGATAGATTTTAGCCCATATATGCGTATCTACTTTCAAACCGAACTGAAAATATTTGTGCCCAAGAAGTTACCCTATGTTCTAACAATTTTTGAGGAAAATAACAAATTTAACCTGAAAAACTGTTGTACGCACTAAAAAGCACATGAGGCTTGCTTAGAGATCCTCTGATGACCGAAACCCTTGCAACTGGTGTGTTCAGACCAGTGTAAGAGCAAAGACATCAATTTGACTCTGGACTACAGCGACAACAGTTATAATTGCTATTGCTATTTCCACTCTGAAATCAACACAGCAATTGTTTTTCGATGGCAGTTTCAGAGAACCTACATCAATGTACTGACTTCAAGCAGATGGTCCTTTCCGGCTATTAATAAGTGGTTCTGGCATAGGATAATTCCGCGAATAAAACGTAATATGCATATCATAACTAAAATGACCGAAATCAATCTCGTGGAGTGCGAAAAGACCGAAAAGTCTAACAACTCACTTCTACCTCTAAGGAGCGTTGATAATCACCAACCACTTGCAGCAGAAAAGAATAACTTTATATCTGCCCGAACCTCGCACTCCTAACAGCAGTGCAGTTGGGTTCACCAGTGATGCTGTAAAGTTAACCATGAGCCTTCAGTTTTCTGTCAAGTTAGAAAGATTAACGCGATCCCCTTGTGATTTCCACTTCCCTTCGTTTTCGTGTATTGTTTCTGTTTCTCAAAATGGCTAGGCAAAAACACTAGTGCTTTTTTACAGCCCAAGTGCTGTGCCCTCGGTGGCGATGATGTAATCTTGCAGATGAACAGTCATCAGTGTCTTTGCAATGCAAATTCGAGATATCACTTGAATATGTGCCTAAGGGACTTTGCTCAACCACTCTGTGTGTAAGAAGAAACACCCCAAAAAGTGTGTAGTAAATAGTATTAGATAGCATGTACGCATCTCAGACAGACACCGTAACGTATCATTTCGTGAAAGTTTATAAAATAGAACTGTCAGCGTGACGCCACGTGTTGTCTGCTTTTCTCCCCCGCTTTCCAGATGGTGGTGTCAGACATATATTAAGGTTACAATGTAAGGTTACTGGCACAGTATCATTTGAATAATATCTATGTCGGGCACAGTATGGTGATTAGTTTAAGGTCATTTTGGCGTAATGGTAAGTTCACTATGTCCATCATTAGCGTCCGTTAATCACACTAATAATGAAGAGCGCAATAGAATAATATCGAATTTATGCCATCAAATACCAAGAGAGACCCAATTTACTTACCCCCATCTTCTCAGCCTGTTCTGTGAATACGGACATGCACTCATACAGGCACGTGTAACAGTCGTTCTAAAAGGGAAAAAAGTTTTGTAGGTGCAGCGATATGTACCTCAAAATTACTCCACTTCCGTCATCCTTCCGACTCCCCCTTCAAAAAACCGCTCACACTTTGCTTAGAGTTACGATTAGGCAAACCTGAATTATGGGTACTTTCAGTGTTCCAGTGATCGCATAGAGCCTGTCATTTGTCCGAATAACTTATCTTTTTCGTACACCATATTCCCCATCATAGCCCACACCTTCCTCTCTGCGTCAACATTTTCCGAAACCGCCGACGCGGGGGGGGGGATTACTGAAGAGGAAAGTCAACAGACCTGGCACCGTCAACACTTCAACGTCAAAGGAAGCGACGGTCTGATTAGTCTGGATTTTGGCACCAAAGTGGGTGAACACCGTCCCTATGCCTTCAGTCAGTAGATATAAGCCTCTTCCCGACTGAATATGCTTCTCCTGCACCCTCTAAAGTCGGTTAATGTCAAGCGCTTTGGAAGGCGTTCCACCTTCTGGAAAGGCGCCCCTATCGCCTCTTCTCCACTACCCTTTTTCTAGGATGATTTTCCAGGCGCCACAGCGGCACTCAGGAGGGAAAGCGGTGGGTGGGTGCGGGTGGTGGCGGTAGTGACTGCTGTCGTCTTGGCTGCCAAGGTTAGTTGGACATCCTTGACGTGTGAGCGGTGATGGGTATCTGGGCTATGATAGCGTTCGACATCTACCCACCCACTCTAATCAAGCATAAGCCAATTCAAAATAATTTGCCGATGCCAACGGCATCCTAACTCTCCGTCACGCAGCATGAAACACTGTAGAACGAAGCCGGCTTAGCAAGACACCGATGTAAACCTTAGTGGTTTGGTAGGTTTAAGTCATGATTGCGTCACACTCTGACCGGTAAGACAAGCTACTGACTACTATTCACCTTCGGATTAGCCTTTTCCACTTTTACGGGTCGACTAGTTATAAACGGAAGGTAATACATTTAGGGTAGCGTCGTCAGAAGTCTTTACTACGTAACTCCAGCATAGACGGGTACGGTATAGGTCATTGGGACGTGATTTTCGGAACTTTAGCCAAATGACCTTTTATTTTTAAGCGTCATCGTCTCTTGCTTATGCTCTTATTTCTAAAAAAGAGATTCCATAACTAACGCCCACTCTCTAGTCTTCCTCTACTCTCTTTGTCAGTCTTCTAAAGTTATTTTTTACCCATGGGGCTAACACCCTTTTTACATAAACTCGACAGTTGTTGGAGTTGGCAAGTCAAAGCTTTATTTTTTTCAAGATTCATCCCCATAGGCAGCATCTGGAGCTCTGCAACCCCACATTTTGCCCAGAGTTTTGAAGTTTAGGTCTTCAGGCAATAAGAAGAGGCATCTGCAAATTAAACAGGTACGTGTTATATATTTGCTCTTAGCATATCCGAACCAAGTCAACAGAACTGCCTCTAGTTGGAGCTAATAAAAGTGTTGAAAGAAGGGTTTAGATTAACTGAGGCATCCTTTAACGTTTCAAAAAGAAACTAACCTTGTTAGCGAGATATGCGTAGAGGCTGTGGTTGCACTGGCTGTTGCAGTCTTTGCGGCACTCAGCGAAGACTTTTAATTTCGCTAAAAGACAAGCAAACATAAGAAAGATAAGCTTTGGCCCTCATGACTACTATTCAGAAATTGTTTGAAAGTCCCGCATTATAAGTGGTGAAGGTCAGGCTGCAGCCGAAAAACGCAGTGAACCTTTACCCCGTCGGTCTCTTCCGTCTTATGCCTAATAAACTTGCATATACAACTAGATCAGTGCAGACAAAAGAAAAGCCTAATGGAGGCTTTTTACAAACAGGGCCCAGGAACAACCACAAGGCGGAGTGTTATACAGTTTCCTTCGTCCTAACATATCTGAGCAGACGAAAGCCCCGTACAGGCTGTGGTGGCAAGATCGTGTTTGGCATGCGTATATGGCCTGCCTAGCTCTTTCAATCACTGAGTCCGGGCCTATCGCCGGTTGTATTGACTTGGTCTTGTCACAAGAGCCTGGTAGGTGATGGAGGGAAGAGTGCCGTAGGTGTTTCGAAAGCCTGCCTTATTATAATCTTGTTGACATCAAAGTCACTGACGCTGCACCTGCTCCGTGATGCACACGGTGGATGTTGTCATTCGCGACAGATTGTCTGGACTTTCGCCTGCGCTCGGCACTGGAAACTAGATTTGACTCACATTCAGGCCTGAAGTACGGTTAAGCCTTAATAGTTCTCAGGATACTAGTAACAGTTAACAGTAAGATAAGCGAAAATGCAAGTAACCTGGTTCAGCAAAATGGTGAAGTGTTTTTTCTAGCATATCAATGTTCGACGCCTCCAAATACGGAGTGTGCGGCAATGAGAAATTCTAAGAACGTTTTTAACTCGACATTTTTGATATTTTTTGAAAAGGCAAAAGAGTGCTAAATTTATCTGTTGAAACTGCGGCTGTCGAGCTGCGAAACTGCCCCTAGTTGAATGTCAGGTTCTTTAGGGAATACAAGGGCTATTAACCTAGCACAAAATTAAGCCTCGCAGTATTGCTTTAAGGTATACTTTGAGTGAGTGCGGTCTGATGACAGAAGCCGGCTGGTCGTTGTTTCTCGACAGACTTTAACTTCATGGCGGCGCTTTTCGAAACTGAAGTCCTTTAAATAATGTGTGGAAATCACAGTAAATTTGTCCTCCTCGAATTTCGTAAATATATTACGTGGAGCTGTTGCCCAACGGCTGTGTTTGTACCACCCATTCGCAGTGGAGACTGGCGCTGCCCTCTTGCCCTATTTTCTCACTACAAAATATCTCTGCTTCAGCATCAAAGGATTATACACGGTTTCCAGCCTAAGAGAATTTAGATGGGTTGAAGTCTTTTTCGTCCCTTGGAAACATACAAGCTCAGTAAAAATATCAGGAGCCAAGTTAATTATCCAGTATGCATAACAATCCCAAAATCGTCAAAATTTCGCAGTTGCAAGACTTGCACTATAGTGGCTGTATTTTTTGTGTGCAAAAAGTAAACACGAAGAAACGATACGGAGAAGATCGTGTGCTCCGCCATTTGCGTCCGACTTTCGTTACGACACCGTGTGATGAGCACGTTTCCGCCGCACGGCCGCGCATCTGGTAATCCGATCTCCGTGATAACTGCATCTTCATATGAGCCGCGGTATGTCGACATATAAGAAGACAAAACTAGAAGGGTGGATACACCTCGTCAGGCCGGTTTCCCGGCAAAATCCAGCGGGCCACTCTGGCGAGTTTCGTTTGTTTCTGCTGAAAATTTCTGTGGGCGACAGACCTAGTGACAGCTAACTAGAAACAGTCCTCTTCTCCCACCTGACTGGCCTTAATTCACTGGAATGTAGCCCGTATTCCTCAACAAAAGAAGCTTAATATGATTCCTTATGCATGTCCACGGGTGTGAAATTTCTTTCTATAAAACAAACGCACGATTTAATATTTGTCAGTACCCTAAAGACTACAGTGAGTAGTTCGACTCCTCGAGTTTAACTCGGTCACCAAGAGATGCGTCATGGAAGGTGACGTTAGATAAGGGCGGACGAATGTGGCGAGGTGGACGAGACGGAACCATGCTTACAGAAAAATACACGACCAAACACGACATAGTGTCACTCGCCAGTAGTTATTTTTAGGTCCGTTTCGAGGGCTCCTGTCAGCTTTATGGCCGGGTTTACGTACTCCGGGGAGCAATTGGACCAAAAGAAAATAACTGGCGACATTTATTCGTACGCTTTAATGAAAGGAATAAAAAGACTTCGTGGCGGCTGTTGCGTGAGGGTGGTCAAGGTACTTAAAGGTAGTCATCGGAGTAAAAATACGAAAATGCAGCAACTTTTTGACAATGCCTGCAAAGGCGCATAATTTAAATTAACTACCCTCAATCAGCGGTAAAAATAGTGTCACGTTTTTGTCGGTGGCAATATGGAGGATCAACATCTGAGATACTACAAAGTTTTTGGATGCTCAGCTCTTTTGCTCGACGCAAATCCTCCCCGATGTAAGCAACCCCGGCTATGAATCATACTTTTGCCCAGCCTATTCCATCTAGCACCGACATCCCGTTGCGATTATGAAGATCAGGGTTTTAAACTCCGGTTACATGTCTCGAGAGAAAACTGCCGTCAAAACCCCCAAGACCTATCATGAGGGCCCGCGTTTCGTCGCCCAAATGTAGCTAAATAGCTCATTTGCGGATAAAATTGGTTTGCTCGCTGGAGAAGACAGACATTACTCCTTCCTTCAATCATGGTTCCAGCAATAATATGCCGTGTTCCGTATAGGTAGGGGCGGCCATAATTATAGGTTTTGAAAGAGACAAAGTTTAGATATAAATTACACAAGTGAACAATGAAATCAGCTGAGGTAAAGGTTCTTTTTACGAAATCTGCCAAACCTGGGGACTGATATTTGATAGTTGGTAGAAAACGCAAAAAATAATTTTGGAACGACCCCGTCAGCTCTCCACCCAATACTAATGCGTGTTTTAGTTTCTATCCGATGTTTTCGGGACAAATGAGTCAGTAAGTAAATAACTTTACCAACGATGGCAGCAAACGTGAAACGCTGTCGCCCGGGAATATGGAGACGTTCAGAGGAGACACAAATTGAGGATGAGGTCTGACTCGGACACACTTTAACGCTTGGAAATTGAGTTTTCAAACTGTGTAGGATGGATTTTTGACATAAAACAGTCTTAAACTCGCTTGTTAGAGGCTGGAACTTGAGAGGACACAGCAACCAGCGCAAGGAGGCGATGGGTGAAGGGAGTTTCAGGTCTAAGACAACAGTAGTGTTTTGGGCATTTGTGAAAAAGGTCATCTCTGTAGCTTTAGGCTTGCTTGGAATACGAAAAACCTCTATTTTGCCAATAGTTAATGGAGGCTGAAGTGTAAAACTTAAAGAAATACAAAAATTTAATGTCCCTTTGCATGTGTTAGGGAATATGTGAAAGACTCGTCCGCGTTTTCATGGTTAGTCCGCTCTAGAACCGTGAACAATGAAGAGTAGGACTAACTTATGTAGCCCCCTAAATGGTACACGAGAACAGGAACCGTCTACATACGGGCGGCTTTGAGCCAGCTTTCAGTAAAATACGGGTTAGGTTTATGGAAGGGGTTAGAGTTAGATTAAGGATTAGGTTTAAGGCTAGGTTAGGAAACTCGGGATCAGCCTTAGGGTTAAGGTAGCGGCTAGTGTTAACTGCAGAGTTAAGGTTTAGGGTAGGTTTGAAGTCAACTTAAGTCAGCGGTTTACTTTTTTATTAATGTCATTGTTGGAGTTAGGGCACGGGAATATTTTGCCCTTTGCAGAATCATGCACAGTTCCACCTTTATTACCTGAGCAGGCATACCTGTTCTCATCTCCTGTAAAGGGGGCTACATAAGGTAGTCCTACCCAATAAAGGCAGTTCAATTCGTTACTGCATTTCACGCATATGCTGGGTTTGTCTGAAATGAATCGACTACCTTGCAGCTGTACGACCGCCAAGAGCGTCTGGATGCGGATGATGACGTTTAAACCTCAGACAGTAGACTGCACGGCACACACGCACACATACGTAAAAGAAACTGTTGGTTTGGTCTTGTTGCGAAATACATTCGCAACTTCTGCATCCGCGCGACATGTCCGTTTGCGGGGACGGAACGGTAGGAGGAAGAAGGGTTTCTTTTCCTCCTTCTCCTAGCACAGATGGAGTTCGCTTCATCGGTATAACTGCTTCCTCCTATTACTGAATCAGACCAATTTGGGACTTCATTTCGTCGAGTGTGAGGCAAGCCTGTTGTGTAAAGGCCAAATAACCCACATCAAACCATCCAGCGAGAGTGCCGCTACGGAATATGCCTCAGACAAAGCGCTCATCTGTTGGAAAACCTTTAAAATGGTGTTTTATGATTGTTAATAAATATCAGCATTACTGTCTTCCGTCTTTCACATTAGCAAATAGACGAAAATGGGATATAAAGACTACCGGTAGGTGATAAGAAATAACTCCACGAGGCAAACTAGAAAGGAAGGTGGTTTCATCAGCTGCGTCCTGCTCTATGACGTACCTTTCTATACAGCTCTGGGACTAGGGCGCCTCCGTGAGCATCGTATGGAGAAAAAGCTCTCACTGTCATAGTCAGGTCAACAAAACTGATCGGGTAGACGTTACAGTTACAGTAGGAGGGCTAACTTATGAAATGTCAGCGGAAATTCCGAAATGCGTTTTTGTTTCGAAAAGGTTAAGTAAGTAAGGTTGTGAAACTGATCATCATGCAGCGTAATTCCATAATAATTCAGTTACCCCAGGATGTCGGCTTTTGAAAGAATTTCTTTCTGACTGGATGTAAAAACCACACTATGTAAAAAATGTCTATTTAAGTAGCATGCACCCTTCGCATTGATTTTCAACGCCTCCGAATACTCAATTATATTTCATGGAAATCATGTATAGAAATATTCATTCTTTTGCTTATTCGGTAGAAAACTACGTCTGATGCCAATTGTATACTCGGTTTTCAATTTTTTTCCAATTCCTGAATAATTTTGAACCCGAGCTGCCGTTACACTTGCATTCACATTTTCCAAACTACAAGCTGTAAACTTCCCGCGTGCGGAAATCTTTACACTTCTCTACGGTATTAGGAGGAGACCATACGGAATTCATAAAATTTAGCAGTGATTTTGATCCATGTTGTTAAGTTTACAAGCCATATTTGTAAATGCGTCGACATAGCGTTTTATGAACGGCCATTTCGGGTATTAAAAAATCTCACATTTATAAACTTTTTGAAAACCGAATTATACCCTTCCTTTGAGTATAACATTGGAAGAAGACATAATTTTCTACCGAATGAGTAAAAGTATGAATTTTGTTTATGCATATTTTCCATGAAATATGATTGAATATTTAAGAGCATCGAAAATCAAGGAGAAAATGTCATGATACTTAAGTTGGCATTTTTTACATAGTGGGGTTTTTGCATGCAGGAGGAAAGAAGTTCCTTTGAAAGCCGGCATCTCGGGGTAGCTGGATTTTTAGAAAATTATGTTGCAGGGTAACTAATTGTACAGCTCTGCTTAATTAATCTATTCGAATCGAAAACGCATTTCGGAATTCCGGTTGACGTTTCGTGAGTTAGCACACCTACTGTACGTTTATTCTTAAGGACAAAGGTTGCGTGGACTGATTTATGAGAGAAGGCGAGAGGCTACTGGCGGTTTGTGTTCACGGCTAACGACTGTTCGACTGTTCGACTGTTTTTAAGGAGAAATCTGTTAATATGATCATTAAAACAATTACTATGGAAATACCACTTCTGGCAGAGGGCTTATATCAACTTCTAACATTTGCCAGAGGACGTGAGTAAACATACCTCAAAAAATCCTCCATGTTCAGGCGGTAAACGAAATATGCCTCATAATTGCGTTTTAATTTTGGATTAACTAGTGTTAGTATAAGTCAGTATCTGTCCTTCAAAGCTGCGGGATTTAAGCAGATTGTTTGAACGTAGGTTGCATCTTTTATCACGAAAATATGTTCATTACAACCGCTATCGGATGACTATCTTAAGCAAAGCAATCCCTCTCTTGTGCAAGCCACGGCTTTCGATGCCACAAAAATGCATTGCCTCAATGACTATGGGTGGCAATCCGTACGCTACACCTTCTTTTAGTTGCCAACGCTTTTTGTTACTAAGAGGTTGCAGGCGTAGGAATGCCTGGTCTCTCCGAACATGCAAGACTGATAAGGACAAAGGAGGGCGTGAAACGTACTCGAATGTCGGCGGGGCATTTTGTAGACGATGGAGTTTTGATCAGCCTGGTACCCGGAAGAGAGCATGTAGGCCGCTGAGGCAGAAAGGAGGTTCATAAGATTCAACGTTATGACAATGCAGAAGATGAGTGAGAGACGATTGGAAGCCATCGATTTGTGCACAATCACAATACAATTCGGGATCCGGGGCGGAGGGTACAAGATAGGATTTTCGAACCTCTACTAACGACTATCTCATTTTAAAGTACCGTGGTGCTGCCGGTGTCGAATCACGCAAAAGAACGCCGAAACATTTGAGCCAATCAGATCAGCGTCTGACCACGCCTCAGTGTGGTGGGCGAAAGCTATACGCTTGGCCGCGGTACCCGTGCGGACAGAACATGCAGCCCACCAAATGGGAATACGTCTTCTTTTTAATAACCACTTTTTCTGCTGTCCCCCTCTGTAAAAGATGCTGGGGCTATGAGGGGTTGGCAGAAACGCTTTACATTTCCAAACCCTATGGGAAAAGGCTTAAGTTAGATGTGAGTATTGATCCGAATTTCAGACGAAGGAGAGAGGGGCGCGTACGCGAACAAACATTTCCAATTGCCTATATCGTCACAATATATAGGCATTTCCATCTCTGTGCTTCCGATTAACAGCAAAATTGTTGAGCATTGAACAACGTGACTTCCGAACTGCTATTCTCCGCCTCCCTTTGATCTCAGCCCCTCCTGTTTATTTAATAATTGTGAGTTATTTTCAACGGCAGTATCAGACGGCTTTTAAATTCTCTTTTGGAATCCGACAATCTAACTTAGCAATGAACAATTCTGTTCTTCATCCTATGCTAGTCAGTATTTAAATTTTAGCGCACGTTATTTTTAAATTAACAATGTATAGAAGGGCAAATCTGCGAAATCGTGGACGTTCCACCTAAATGAGAAAGTTTTCCGGGCTGTCTTCTTAGGCTCGGAGCTCTAACTAATTTCTGATTGACGAAGGACTCCCCCGGCCGTAACCAGGAGCCTGTCACATGTCCGAGAGTAAGAGCAGGGTCGTCTGGCCTGACTCATAAACAGGAAGAGTGGCGTTTCTTAAACGATGCCGGTTTAAGTACGCTGTGTCCACTTGTTGCGGTTATACTAGCAATTGATGTCTCCTTTTCTGCATCCCGGAAGTTTTTCACACAATTTTTCTATTCCTTGTTTTAGGACCCGCTATTCGCATCTGGCGAGATCCTTGATCTTGATGACTGAATATTCAGACGAAAAGGCACTGAGTGGGGAGTATAGACCAAAAATCAGGATGGTCAAGATAACCGCCTCTTCTCCGTGTATGTTATCTGGGAATCGTAATTCTGTATGACCAGTTAGTTTATTCATTTTGACCCACCTGCTAAAAAACTCGGTGCCTCGGTGAGATTCGAACCCACGACAACAAGAGGAAGGCTTTAGTACTACCAACGCTCTAGCCACCTGAGCTATGAGGCCCCACAGGACGACGCAAGTTTAGTTATATTTGGGTCACGTTCAGCCGCCCAACTAACCGCAACGCCTTGATCAACCAAATCTGATACTGTAAGCTGGCTGCCCAAACAGGATTTCCTACGTAATACATCTAGAACCCACCAGATGACTAGCAGGCTCAGGTAAGTAATAAGTGTTAGGGCCTATTTCAAATGATTCATTTTGACCTAACTGTCGTGTGTTCGAATCCCACCGAGCCACCGGCTTTTTCACAGTTGGGTCAAAAGGAATTATTTTAAATTTGCCATAACACCTGTCAGTCAGTTTATGTGTCAGCGTACCATCAGTATGTTCATAGTGTCTCTTATTAGTCCGTCAGAAGGAAATTTCTCAGGGAGCCCGCAAATAAGTAAGATGTAAAAAAACAAAATTAGACGTAAATCTTCACTTGTAGCAATCCTGCGTTCCAGCGGACTGATCCGACTACTGGAATTATAAGGTAACGACAACTAAGAAAACGACAGATGCCTTCCAGTTCCTCTGCCCTAAACGCCATCAGTTATCGCGAACATTTAATTCGGGAAGCGAAGCTTCTCATTGCGGCGGGGCTAGTAACATGCCTTTGTGAGGAAATATCCAGAACATCACACCATACGTGCAGTCAAACGTACTGTTCGTAGAACGCTCGAATTAGTTACGAACAACCGCACGCGTAAATTATCCGTAATTTTGAAGGTTGTGGCAGCAGCCTGTGTAAAGTATTTTCTTGACAGCTTGGAGGGAATGTTACTGAACGCTCAATTAAAGCAGTCTTCTCTTCAGACGGACGAGCAATGATTTCCAGATATCAGCTATCATGCCAAATTTCGAAACAGGAGCTTTTAGATATTTCCATATTCTATATTTAGTCATTCGTTTAGTTAGTTTTCCTCAGCCCATTATTCCCATGTAGTTCTATGTCAGTAGATGCGTAATTCTGCGGAAGTTTTGGTGATAAACGACTGGCAGACACGACCCTCGGTCTGTTAGCAGTTCTTGTGGTCGAAGTAGGATTACCGCAGATGCCTAGATTCACATTTTCCCGATTGTTTGAGTTCACGTGAATGCGGAAGGTTCTCAATAAATCTATCTTGGTAGGTTGTCCGAGGCCGAGAAATACCAGTAAAAAAGACGAGGGAAGCTTAAACGACCTATTTTGACTTATTTGCTATCGTCCCTCTACAATTTGCTCACCCGGTAAAAAAAACTCGAAGTTCGAATTCGGGCTAAGTTTGCCATTTAGTTAAACGATTTATCAGTTGTTTGGCTAGCCCGCTCTCCGTCGGCCGCCCATAGAAATAAGCAAACTCATTTGAGGCTAGTACTCGCGATCTGCTGTGTTTGCGGGACAGGAATCAATCTGTCTAATACCTGGCAGAGGACCCGGTCCGAGTGTAGTACAAAGAGATCACAGACCTCGGATATGACGGCGGTTGAGGCTTTTGCTTGACCGTCATAGACTGACGGCAATGCAAAAGGCCTTAATTGACGATGGCATTACCGTTATCTCGCTGCCTCTGAACTATCTTTACTTTCATAGTACCCACAGAATTTTCTTCAAGTGTCACCGGCCTTCACGTTCATTCCCCTTCCCAAACTAATCGGTGTAAGGTTTCGGACTTATAATGACACATTCCTTCGTGTTTTGGCCGTCTTTGACAATATTCAAAGTCCGGCGGGGCCTGCCCGGCAGGATGCCCGCTAGTGAATAAAACTCATTTTTCAGCAGTATGGAAACACCACACTCGGTGGAATGTGTCTACTTGCGGAACATTAGTACCTTCAGATATTTCACGGTAAGCATACTGGAAAATATCCTTTCTTGTACTCACGTGGTAGCAAATTATTTCTTCAAATTTATCTTTGAAAAAAGACACATAGAAATTTTAGAAGTTTTTATTATCAAATAATTTTGAATTTGATTTGCCGTTGCACTTACGCTGTGCACTTTCCATGTAAGCCAAATCATACAGCCTTTTATGCCGTTAAGAGGATACCATACAGGGTTCATAGGACTTTGAAATGGATGGACATTATGTTGTCTACTTCTGAAGACGGATTAACTGACCGCCAAATAGACGGCCTTTTGAATAGGAGTTTCACCGCTTGAGAAAGTCACATAATTTATACATGTTTCGGCAGATTTTGAATAATTCATATTGACCTAACTGTGAAAAACTCGGTGTCTCGGTGGGATTCGAACCCACGCAGTAAGGGGATGGCTTAAGTACAGACAACGCTCTAACCACTTGAGCTACGATGGCCCGCCGGACGACGCGGGTTTAATCAAAATATGCCAAAACATCTATGAATTACGTGAACCTGGTAGTCATCTGGTGGATTCTAGGTGAATTACTTAGGAAATCCTGCTTGGGCAGTCAACTTACTGTAGCCGGTTTGGTGGATTCCAGACGTTGCGGTAGATTGAACGGCTAAAATTGACCCAAATGTGATTAAACTGGAGTCGTCCGGCGGGGCACCGTAGATCAAGTGGTTAGAGTGTTGGCTATACTAAAGCCTTCCCCTTACTGTGTGGGTTCGAATCCTACCGAGGCGCCGAGTTTTTCACAGTTGGTTCAATATGAAATATTCCAAGTATTCATCATTTTTTTAAAAAATCTTGTTGCAATTCCAACTTGCCGATCAAATATTTTACAAAAATGTTCCCAGGAAACGTTCTGTTACATTGCTCCTTTTAATCCAGTCGATCGTTTTGGCTACTGAAAAATCCCTCCCACACATGGGCTGAAAATGGAGACTGTGTAACTACATTACGCAAAGTGGTATGTCTCGATGTTGTCTGGCATCATCTTTGCGCAACAAATAATTCTTATTTCATGAATATCCGTTTTATGTGCTCTTTAATCAAGTCTGCGGTTGGCCGCGTCGTACCACTTAATGTTTTACGCTCAGCACTTTTTCCGATTCGCCTCTCTGAGCTACTGGTAGTTGGCCCACTGGTGGGACGCGGAAATAAGTACCCCCCGTATAACAGTTAGCCTTGCGCTGAATTCCAGAGGAGTCATGATTTGGGGTGGGAAGGTGAGTGCTAGGGTTACGTTTAAAATTGGGTCACAGGAATAGATAGCCCTCTGGAATTTAGCACAAGGCCACCTGCAACATGGGGAGTACTGATTTCGGCGTCCTAACAATCTTCCTATTCTCCAAGTATACTTGAAGAGGTAAGTAAGCCATGGTATACTCATTTGGCAACAGAAACCGTTTGGGGATATCGTGGAAGTTGAGGGTTTGTGCCCTAGCCGAACCAAAGTAAACCGAAACGCAGTCAGCGACCATTACAGCACGCGTTGTGTGGTGAGTGCCAACATGACACAAGAATTTACAGCCACCGTTTGGAAAGAAACGGATTACGGAGAGAGGAGAGCGAAAGCCGAAGGCTGCCTCATGCCAGATAATGTATCATTAAAAAGATCATAGTGGGAGGACTCGGATCACATGTTTATATCAGTGTGTTAGACAAAACTCAAAAGACGGCTTCCTGTAGCCATGAATCGATAAACTAAATAAGGCTTTCTGAAAAAATGTAGTAGTTAATCATACATATTAAACCTAGTGGGATCACACAGCCTTTCCTTACCGACGGTAACTGTGATACTGCCCTAAAAGTTTCAGTGTATGCGTATTTGACGGATTAGTCCCATATTATGATTGCATGCCCTGAGACATCGTGACATTGTGCGTAACATTATTTGACTGACATTATGGTTTTGCAGTCGCCCTGCGATGAATTTGTAGGTGACCGAACAGGCTGGTGCGTAGTCCGAACGCGCGTTCTGGATGTGAACAAAACGATATTGTGTTCACTTTTCTGGTGGTACTAGGTTCCAATTTTGCCATGGCGGTAGTTTCGTAGCCGTGTCTTCAAAGGTGTTCATGACGAGTCGGGTCGGAGAAGACATGTCATGGTAAGTGCGAACGAAAGGAATACCTTTCTAGTGATAATCCCGCTGGTTGAAGAAGGAGACACGATCGCTGCGATAAGAGCTCTATTAGCCTGACGCATCGGATTCCTGCTCGAACCCATAGTCAGAGACAAAAAAGCAGATACGGGTGGTTCATGCACAAGGGGCTGCAGTATTTATAGGATGCAGTAGTCATGCTACCGCATACCTTTGAAGATTCACGGCTCCCCCCTCCATCGGTGATCGTCGCACTTGGTGTGCTGACAGTCTGATGGCCGACATTCGCGTCGTTAATTGCTACAATTTCATCACGTGCGTTGGATGTTGTTGTGATGATTACTCGACTATCTGACACGCTGACCTTGGTGTTGGGAAAAGTGTTCACCTGTGCGCCCCCCGCGTGGCCAATTACTCAGCCTAGGCGAAGTCTCAGCACCGAGTATGGAATGGGAGGATCATTGCACTTGGTAATGCACCGGGGGCCAGTACACCATGACTCAAGCAACTTCCGGGCTCACGCGGTTATCACCTCTTGCGAGAATTTCGGCCTCATCAAATTTGAATGTGTGGCCGGATCCCGTCGAATGAGCCGCAACTTGACAGCTAGCGTCATTTCTCCGCATCGCCGCAGCGTTTTCGGCCATTTGCGTTCGGAGCTGTCTTCCCGTTTCTCCGACGTAGTCTGCAACTGCGCCAGATCCGATAAACGGCTCCCGACGTTTCTTGCCATGGCAACAGGTCCTTCGGTTTCATTAACTACACCTCATGGTTGCCTCCGGTCTGTGTGGAACTCTAACCCCAAGTGGTGCGAGAAGGCGGCCGACAGCTTCCGAAACGTTCTTGACATATGGAAGCGCTCGCCAAAATTTAGCGTCCGTGCGGTTAGGTCTTTTGTGTATGCACCGGTTGACGAAGTTGCGTGGGTAACCATTGGCTTTGAAGACCCGTCGGAGGTATTGTAGTTCGACAATCTTGTCTTCCGGCTCACTGCAGTGAGTTTCGACAGGCCGATAGACCGTCCTTACACAGTTGCGTTTGTGGCTATTTGGGTGGTTGCTGTTGAAGTTCAGTACTTGCAGCGTATTTGTCGCCTTCATGAACACTTTGGTCTTTAAGACACCACAATCTTGGCGGCATACTAGGACATCTAGGTAGGCCAGCTGGTTGTTCTCTTCTTCCTCTATCGTAAATTATATGTCCGGGAAAACCGCATTGTGATGTTCTTTGAATTTCAGAAGCTGATCCCGGTCGATGACGACGAAGGTATCATGCACATACCGGAACCAGAATTTCGGTCTGTGGTTTTGGATGACCAGCGACTCTAAACGTCGCAGGACCACCACGGCGATGAATCCTGAAATCGGCGAACCCATTGGTGTGCCCTTCACTTGTTCGCAGATTATCCCATCGAACGTGAAGTACGTCCTGAGACAGAACTGCAGGATCTAAAAATCTTGGGCATGTCCAAGACGATTCTCGGTTTCATCACATTAACATCCAACGCACGGGATAAAATTGTAGCAATTAACGACGCGAATGTCGGCCATCAAACAGTCAGCCCACCAACTGCAACGATCCCTGACGAAGGGGGGAGGCGTGAATATTCATAGGCATGTGGTAGCATGGCGACTACATCCTATAAATACTGCAGCCCCTTGTGCTTGAAGCACCCGTATCTGCTTGCGTCTGACGATGAATTAAAGCAGGAATCCGAAGCGTCAGGCCAATAAAGCCCTTGCCCCAGCGATCATGTCCCCTTCAAGACTGCTTCCTGGGACTCGTCTCTGCGCTTCTACTCCCGCTGGTATTGTCCGATTGTCTAGGGGGTGGACTGGTTATGCTGATGCTTTTGTAGATTCGAAGGCGTTAAATAAGACTTATCCGGGATTTGGTGAAATTCAAGGCATAGCGATGGAGTTCTGTCGTTGTTCTACGGCATTTCAATCTTTCAGGCTATCGTTTCTCACGCTCTTGCCTCATATTTGATGATCGTCCACAGTGTCCGCCTGTTAGGTGCAGGCGTTTCCAGATCTGTTGGTTAGTTGGACGGCATCTGAAAGGGGTTTTCAGTGTGTCTTTATAGCGCCATTTTGTACACCTTGGATGTGAGCGCCTACATAGGCATGCCGTCCATGCTCTTGCCTTGCTGTGGAGCACACAGTGGACATCGCCGGACGCGACGGTCGAATTGTCAGGCATACTACGGAAGAGTCGTCGTGGAAGGTACTTATTATTAATCACCACTACATGAACACTGGGTTGTAATTGAATCTACTCGAGAATGACACAGATGCTCAGCACGCCAGTCGACCCCTGCACCTGAGTGTCCGGGAGCTGTTCCCGTCACTTCACATTTAGTGTGTTTACAATGCATTCTTCCGCACTAAGGTCGATATTTCTTGCTTGACTTTAGCAGGTTGTCCAGATGTCCGTGCCGAACACTAAGATTGTCAGTGCGACAACGTTAAGGACGCCATGGCGATCCCAGAGCGTGCATGAAAAATACCTGTCTGGTTCTAAAGATCTGGACTGAAATCTCGTCATTGCTTCTGTTGGTCGGAGAGATGGTAGTACGCAGGAAAGGGAATTCGATTACCGCTTTGAGGAAAGTTGCATAGACAACTACCGTGGGTTCGATGTATATGACAGTTGGCGGCGGCTGGTGCATGATAAACGTTTCCGTCGTATTAATGGTTGATTCGAAGCTGGATTATTCCGGAAGAAAAAGGGTTCAAACTTCATCGAATGTCTTCTCCAACTGTGGTGTCCAGTCCAAATTCATTGACAAAACGTGCACCATGCATGCTGGTCTCTAAGGTTTATGTGATGGCCCATATACGGCGGATTTTGAATCTATTTCTGTCAGTTGGAAAGTTTTTGCCGATTTCAGGTCTATCCTCTCAATAGGCGTTCAGCACCATTTCGGAAAACATGAGCCCGGGGAGGGTTAGGGCAAGTCGTCTGTCTTAGTTCATCCCGTTTCTCATTCCGAAGGCCTGTGATAGGGATGCCTTTTCCGTTACGCGTCCCGCATTTCATCATGAATCTGCCTACTCGTCATAGTGAACCGCTCGATACATTTGAATTTCCTAATTAATTTTCAGAGACCGTCTCTGTTTGCGCTGTCGAAGAATCAATTGAGATGCACAAACGTGGGATTGAGACTGCCGCTCGCTTTTACCGGGTGACGAAGCTCGTATTGGTAAGTCCATAGCTTTTCCAGAATCCGAACAGACTCTCGGAAGGAAGTTCTTACTGGGTATTTGGATTCTACCAAGTGAGTGGTGCCCAGACGAAAATTCTCTCAGCAATACCGAGAAGACAGATCCCCAATGAATGTCGCCGATTTGCAGTTTCTTATGCTTTTGTGCAGGCGAACAATGGCTGCATTTTTGAAATATTGCAGGACTTGTTTTTGCCGTCACATCTCTTGCAACAGTGAAGTAAGCTTTTCCGGTAGTTGAGGGTTATAGGGTTTTATACTTAAACTGGAATTGAGTCGGTGCCCTAAGATTTTCCACTGGAAATCTGTTAGAACGGTCTAGTTGTTTCCTGTAGGGACGGCGGTCAATCGAATCCGGCATTGGTCTCCCCTCGAGGAAGTTTATTGGTAGCCACCTTGCAGATTATAAATTGGTGATCGAGAATGCACCTAAAGTGTTCGTCCAAACGCTCCTGCATCTGTGATTTTTCCCTCACTGGTTTTTCTTAACAGTAACTGCATAACGGCGCAGCTCCGACGGTTTGGAGGCCGTAGACTGCCTTGTTATGTATGAAGAACTTCTCCATTTCATTAAAATCTCTATGCCGTTGGATTTGGTGGTTAATCAGCTGTTTTATGTATTCCCCTCTGTCTTTGTTGCAACTGGTGAAAACACTGAAAGCATGCAGCTTCGTTTTGGATTATGCTATCGCTCTGGTAGGCCTTGTGAGGCTGGTTTTTCTGGTACCGGTCACTGTATTTCGCCACCGTTGTTCTCGAACCGGTTCTGATGTTTGCGTTGCACAGGTCAGATGGCTTCGGCAGCCGGGCTGTGGATGGCATTCCGAAATATCGGTCAGTTTTGTCTAATGTCTTTAGTCTCCATAACGTAGGTTGATGTGCACCTTGCTACAGAGCTTGCCTGCTTTCAACCATGTCCAGTGAGCTTTTGTCGCAAACTCGAGGAGGACGTGTATATTGCGGTAAATTTCTCCCTCGTGTCATCGTTGTAATGACGTAGGCGTCTATAATGGTGACGAATTTTTCGGGACAGAGTGGGGACCCCATTGGAATGTAACGTTCCTTGCTCCCGTGAGAGAGAGAGAGAGAGAGAGAGAGAGAAAGAAAGAAAGAAAGAAGGTAACTGCCCTGTAAAGTCGCATCCGATATCGAAAGCAATCCTAACGTCTCGGCGCTCTTCCTTGTGACGGTCTTTTCGGAAAGCATAATCGACGCCGACTCCGTTCACCTCTACGTGTTCGGCTAAACGAGTCTTGCTTTGTACGCCGAGGTTAGTATTTTGGGGGTCATCTTCATAACCCATTTACCCCTTTATGGGTGGGGCATGACCAATTATTTGTCCAAGGCCGTCACTTACTTCCATTATGGGTCATAACTTTAGTGTAGTTAGAAAACGGCCCAAATTAACGTAGACCGTAACACCCTCCCCGCAGGGTTCTGCTTATTTAATGGGGCTGCGGGCTGGTGTTGGAGGCGGCTAAGTGGTGACGAAGACCTGCCCAGTGCGAGGGGCTTTCGCAGTGCTGACTTCATTCTCTCTTCTCCGTTTCACCTCTATCCAATGAGAAAACTGACTCAAGCCGTCTGGATATGAGACCAAAGGCAACGGATGATATGACGTAAAACGCTCGCCTACATGTGTCACATCAGGGCTGATTCCCTAATACTGACTGAATTAGGCTCCAAGTACAGCCTCGTGGGTCAGCAACTCTTATCTGACCCAGTCGCCAGTCAAGTCCATTGCCCAGCTGTGACCACTGGCTAAGCCACAGTTTAATGAACAAAAAGCTTTATTAACCTGACGTTTCGGATACTCACTCAAATCCATCAACAGAGACAAAGTCGGATAAGGGTAGTGGATTGCCCAACTATAACAGGCATGTGGCGCCCTAGCAACTGCATCCTATAAATACTTCAACGTCTGGCCAATCCACTACCCTTATCTGACTCTGTCTCAGATGTTGGATTCGAGTGAGAATCCGAAAAGCCAGACTAATAAATTTCTTGTTCCGACGATCGTGTCTCCTACTTCGCAACTACTTTGTGCAATTCACCTCTTCGCTCCTATCAGGAAAATACATAACAGGCATTAAGTGCATCTAGGCACTCAGAACGACTGCCAATCCAACAGGTTGTAGTCCCGCCTGGACACTCACGTACCCCTGAATCTGAGTTAGGGTCTTTATGATGGAATAAACCCTAAGAAACACAACTCGGGATGACTTATGCAGAGTCTAATCTTAAGATTTTCAGAACCTGTGAGAACTTTAAGGTTGAGAATGTCCTAATCCCTCTCCAAAAGAGCCATTCCGAACTCATCGGCCCCATCGGTGGCTTATTTGGTCGTAGAAAACGCCCTTGAAGATTTCGCGCTGCCACTCTGAACGTCATCGATTTCGCAAAGATCGAATCCCAAACGACGAAAAACGTCAGAGCAAACACCTTGAGCTCTTAGGAAACCCCTGTCCCATTACCAGTGAAAAGTTCGTCCTGTAGCCGAACCCATTTGCGCACGAATTAACTAAGCTTCTGAGGAGCTGATTTGGCCTCATTACGGACGTAAACGGATAATTCTTGAATTTAATGAGATTAGACAAAGAAGAAAATCAGATCCTTGCGATGCAGTCGAGAAGGTTTGTAAAATTATTTCTTGAAATCTGTTTTTTTTTTCACAGATTCCGTTCTCCATGGGCGTATATTTCAGGTAGTGTAGAAAGTGCAAAGAGTCAAAAACGTGTGACAATGATGCCCTGGTCACTGAGGTTTGTGCACAGCAGGAGGCAGTTCAGTGTCGAAAACAAGTTGGAAATGAAGGCTGCCCACTTTTTCCTGTGAGTTTTCGGACAGTGGCCGCTTTATAAGACTGTTCTGCAAGGAAGGAGAAGGGGAGGATGAAGTATTCTCCTGGTATTCCGCAGTAAAACCCAACCCAGTGTCCATCTTTTTCAATGGATCCACTTCCCAGGCTCTCACGAAATATGATGGATGTGTGTGGAAATTCACGGACCGGGGCGGTGTGCTCGGGTGCTTCCCGTCCCCACCCAAAGCAAGCTTGCTTTAAGCCGCAAAATGTCTGTCGTTCACCTCCGGCCATTGACATGCCCCAATTCGTCACGGTAGCGTGGGCGGGCAACAAAGTTCAACGCAGCAAATGGATTGGTTCATAAGACACGGGCGACGCTGATTCAATAGGGCAAACTTTGAAATCGTGTTCACGAGGTTTTTTGGTCTAAGTTAGTTCTGTTCAGAGTCGCTGGAAGTCTAACCCATGTGATGTAATTTAAACATTCCCACAAATGCCTTAGGGGCCCACGCGAAAAATCTCCATGATTGTTTGAATTGGGGAGTTTTCCTGCGGCAGCAACCAGTGCGCTGGTAACTCTACCTCTACTTTTCTCTCAGTGTAGCACTTGTCGGCAAGTGCGCGTGGAATTTCTGAGACCTGTCCTATTCCATTGCATAAACCGAAGAGGCGTCGTGTGAGTGAATGCTATCAGCCCTGAAAAATCAGAGGCAGGGAAAAAACCAGTTGTAAGAGCGTAGAAACTCTGACTGACATTACAGTACTTATCCTCCAAGCAGAGTTAATGCCACCCGGCGAAACATGGTTTACAGGCCTCTCCTAAATTGTGGTCGTTTTTGATATTGCTGTTTAGTCTCAAAAATACGAAGTCATCTGAACGAGACGAAACGGAATAGGAAGTGGGAGAAAACGATGACGGCTATGCTGCTGCTGCTGCTGCTGCTGCTGCTGCTGCTGCTGCTGATGATGATGATGATGATGATGATGATGATGATGATGATGATGATGATGATGATGATGATGATGATGATGATGATGATGATGATGATGATGATGATGATGATGATGATGATGATGATGATGATGATGATGATGATGATGATGATGATGATGCGGGAGGCAGGGTTAATGTCACCGAAATTAATCATAGGTCTCTTGTCATTTACTAGTCTCGCTCGAGTGAATAAGCAGCACTTCCTGCAAAAACCTGCTTCAGCAAAAGCCTATCCCGTTGGTTAGTTGACGATGTGCAACCTAACAATTATAGGAACTAGGAATCTAAGTCAAAATCTGGTACACGTTGACATTATATCTTCAGGCTCTAATAATTTCCGAAATCACCCCAGTGATCTTCGCGTATTTGTCTGATTAAGGGTAGCATAGTTCTTGACTACATTCACACCAAGCCAATAACCTCATTCTACCCCCCATTTAACGTACATTTTTGCCTCGGTTGGTTTACCGGCGTGTCCACTTTTTTTGTCAAGGCTGTCGCTTACTTCACTGGAAAATCGAAAACCACACTTTTCTACCTGTGATCGGATAGGACAGGGCAGTACGACTGTTGACAAACATTTTGACTAACGCGAATTAAATTGTTTGAATAACTCATATGACTGCATGTGAACAGGCTATACTTGAGCGGCGAAGTCCACTTTATTCGCCATAATCAAGAAAATTTGGTGAGTCCCTCATCCAACCGGAGCTCTCGTAATCTTAGCAGCATCTGATGCAACCTCATGCACAGTAAATAAGATCTCTCCAGCTCCAACAGCATGGAATACAGCCTACCGCAAGACCAGCTTTAAAGACATCCGTTAGAGCAAACTTACGGGCGAAAAAAGGTACATTCTGGTCAAATGAAGCCCTTGTTCGATAGCATTACCACCGCAGAAAACTCCACGCTTTAGTGGCGTAGGCATTTCCCTCCCATTAAGCCCACTCTCCCTCGTGTTCCCACAGTGCGTAGAAATTCCACTCCGGCCTCAGTCTTGGTGTGCGAACGCACGCCCATCTAGACCATGTGCGGAAAACTAGCCAGCCAGCAGCCAGACTTCCACAGTTTCAGATTTCCCTACCACCTGTGTTATTTCCGGCCTCCCATTTTTCCCACTGATCCACTTTAACGTACACATTGAGGGAATTCCCACCGCGGCTACAACAATCAAAGCGCGTTTCTGCGCCTCACACGCGTGGCTGTCGCGCTGAAATGTCATCACTGGGGTCCTCTCATTGACCTAATCACACTACTGCATTGAGGCGCCTAATAGAAGCAGCGCTAAACACCCCCAGATGCAAGGTGGACAGGGTGTCAGTTCCCGCCTAGGGCTGCCGTCAAAGAACGGGGAGGAGGAGGGGGTGGGAAATATCGGACAAACACACAGCGTATGATCTTACTACATTAGGAGCTGTGCCATTGAGAGGAAGTTGGTGTCTAATTAGAGCTGTGATTAATGGCTTACGTGAACGTGATCATATAAGTCCTGGTTGACCTGAGCTCACCCGTAAATCTGTGTGCAGGATTCGGTGACGGTCTTTGGGATACGGAGGCCGGCAGAGGTCACGCACAGCGGACCGGCCTCGAAAGGCACAGCCTGTTTGCGTATTCACCCACACGGCGGTGAGGGTGTGCACTTCAAGCCCCTCTTTCATCCATAATATTCTTTATTTCACCAACACTGGCGGTAGCAAGACAGGAGAAGTTTTATGTTGAGAAGCATTTGGTTCCCAAAGACGCTCGTTTGAATTCATTAGAGAGAAGACATGTCAGAAGGAAATTTGGTCACAGTAACGTCAACCAAAAACCCTTCTCCATCAATCCACCCAGGGTATGTGGCGTATCAATGTTACTTTCCAACATTTATGAAATTTCGGACTCGGTGGCACGGGGATTTACGATATTATACCGCCTTTACAAGCAGCAGCGTTTTTGGGATCATCAACCAAGGGAACAGGTTACCACGGCATAATATCCGCACCTAAAATAATATGAAGCCCCATTACAAAGCGGAAAGCAATGCTGTATCACATCAGTTCCAGAGGTCATTTCTCCCTTTGGCTTCAGGAAAAAGGCCAGGCATTTATACTAAATGCTACATAGTTTGGCAAAACGCCACGGTAGCTCGGGGCCGGATAATTTGTGCAACCGAACATCTCGTGCAAAAGAAAACTAAAATATGCAAATCCCACTTTCAAAATACAATTATTCCCTCGATGTGAACAATATAAGTAAAACCTTGTTGTCTTGTTGCTGAACAATAATTCTCAATTACTAGTAAATGTATGTACTGTTTGCTGTTGGCTGATTGCGGCTTCTCTGATCCTAACCATTGGCAGACTTGGGTGCTTTGCGTCCTACTCGCGGCTGTCGTAGTTGCCGCTGTGTTGCGTGCTCGTCAGCCTCCCTCTCGACACACGGCGGACTCATCGATCGTAGTTCCTCAGGTGAGGTGTTTTCGGCATCGGGGGTACGTTCGTGAGACAGTGTGCCGCGCCGGTCACGTGAATTTCGGTCGACCCCCCCTCTTTTCTCCGCGAGCGTCGGCAGTCGAGCCCATGCGACTCTTTTCATCCGTCCCATTGTCCCTGTCTGGGCTGACTCGAGCCTTGTGCGAAGCGCCTGGTAGGCGGGATGTGGGTGTATGGCTCGGTTGAGCGTGTCTTGCTTACTTGTGGACCGTTTTGACCCACCGTGCTTATATCTGGGAGTGGTTCTATCATTAAGTGATCGCCAGAGAGTCACTCTAGTAATAGTAAAAATACTTGCTAACTAGATCAAGCAACAACACTTCCATTGGTAATTTCCGTATCCTTTCGTAGTCCATTAATGTAAGACAGTGTCTGA